GGACCTGCTTTCAGTCTGCCAAAAACCTCCTCTGAGGAGAAGGAAGGCAGTTAAAGATGAATGCAAGTTAATATGTTGGTAAAATTTCCATGCACAGCCAACAATGTCTCCGGATCAGAGCGGCCTCTAGGGACACCAGGAGAGGCTTACTTCCTCCTGGACCCAAACTGCTGAGATACCAAGACCTTTCACCCTGCATTCAGAGAATCTGGCTCTGTCAAAACTCTGCCGTTTCTTGTTCTAGTTTTCACACAGACTTCGCTGGTGTGGACAGAAGTATCTCTCTGGGTTTTGTCTTATTTGTCCCCTAAACAGTATCCTTTCCCAAGGTCTTTCGGCCTTCAGTTTTCACAAAACAATATTATATATATATATATATATATATTTATATATAGCTTTAGAGGAAAGCATGCTTTTTTATTTTTAAGACTAGTCAAGTCCAGCAGTGAGAACAGGGGAGCGTGTAGAACAGGAGTTCAACCTGTAACTGACTGAACAACTGAGATAACTCACAACCTCTGACCAACCAAAAAAAAGCATGCTTTTCTTTTCCCTGCCACCCTGAGCAAGTTTCCAGTTTCTGTCAACACACAAATTAGCACCATACCCAGTGACTTCCTCCTGGCCAGCAGCAGTGTGGGACAGGAAGGAGGAGGCTGATCTCAGGTAACGCTGACCTCCTCCTGGTCTGGGAAGCCCAGTTCTGCTGAATGCTTTAATCAGAAGCAGTTGGCTTTGCTCAGAGCCTAAGCCCGCAGAGCAGCAGAAGGCCAAGCAATAGGGTACGTGCCTCAATCCCAGCTCTTGAAGACCTAGAAGCAAGGATAGATGCCAATTCAATGCCGGTCTGGACTACATAGTAAGTTTGCCAACCTCCGCTACAAAGTGAGACTTTGTATCAAAAATAAAAGCAATAACAACAAAAGGAAAGCAGGAAAGGAAGTACCTGAGTCCTGGAAGAACTAGATACAAAATAATTCTAGGAAATTATAGCTCTCAGTATTTCAACAGTGAGGTCCCCTGCATGGAGGAAGGAGATGGAAGGATATTCATTCGCTATTAGTATCAGCAACAAGGAACAAGAGACAGCTCTAGGCAGCTGCCTGGAGCAGTCCGAGTTCTTTTCAAAGACCGCTTATCAGGGGAAGCTGGGTTTTTTTGTTTTGTTTTGTTTTTTTAAGACAGGATCTATCTACCTAGAGCCCTGGCACTCACTATATAGACCCAGCTGGCCTTGAACTCACAGAGATCCACCTGCCTCTGCCTCTCAAGCACTGGGATCAAAGATGTGCACCACCATGCCCAGTTGAAGCTAGGATTCTTGACTGCACAGCAGAAAATAATTTCAGAACAAGCCAGTATGAAGCAAAGTTGGAGTTTATTAAGAAGATGGGGGGGGGGCTGGAGAGATGGCTCAGTGGTTAAGAACATTTGCTGCTCTTGTAGAGGACCTGGGTTTGGTTCCCAGCACCCACATCAGGTGGATCACAAACCCTCTGTAACTCCAGTTCCAGGGAATCTGATACTCTCTTCCGGCCTTCAAGGTCACTTCCATGCATGTGATGCACATGTATGTGTTCAGGCCCACACATGTACACATAAAATTTTAAAATAATAAATCTTTTTTTAAAAACCTTGTTTAGCCGGGCAGTGGTGGCACACGCCTTTAATCCCAGCACTCGGGAGGCAGAGGCAGGCGGATCTCTGTGAGTTCGAGGCCAGCCTGGGCTACCAAGTGAGTTCCAGGAAAGGTGCAAAGCTACAGAGAGAAACCCTGTCTCGAAAACCAAAAAAAAAAGCCTTGTTTAATTTTCTCTTACATGTGTAGGTATTAGACTGCATATATGTGAACCATGTGTATACAGTGCCCATGGAGACCAGAAGAGAACATCGATTCCCCTGGGACTGGAGTTACCCAAGGTCGCTAACTGTCAAGTGGGTGCTGGGAATTGAATTTGGGTCTCCTGGAAGAGCAGCTGGTGTTCTTTCTTCCTTCCTTCCTTTCTTTCTTTCTATCTTTCTTTTTTTTCTTCCCGAGACAGGGTTTCTCTGTGTAGCCCTAGCTGTCCTGGACTCACTCTATAGACCAGTCTGGCCTCGAGTTCAGAGATGTGCCTGTTTCTGCCTCCCAAGCGCTGGGATTAAAAGCATGTGCCACCACCTCTGGCTACAGCCAGTGTTCTTAATAGCTGATCTCTCCAGCCCCCTTAAGGTAATAAAGATTTGATCACAGAAATTAAAAGATAGAGAAAGAAGAAGAAAAAGACAAGGGTGAGAAGGCGTTCTCAAAAAGAGTGCTGGCTAAAGACAGGGCTCAGTTGGTAAAGTGCTTACTAAGCATTCGTGAAGCCCAAGCTCAATCCTCAGAGCTGCATAAACCAGGCCTGGTGGTGCAAAGCTCTCATCTCAGCACTCAGGAGGCAGAGGCGGGAAAATCAGAAGTTCAAGGTTATCCTCAGCCTACATATAGCAAGTTGGAGACCAGCCTTAGTCACATGAGATCCTATCTCAAAACTAAAAATAAAGAGAGAGAGAGCACTTCACGTGTCTTAATAACAGCATATATATGATTTTGGTTTTTATTTTGTTTTAATTCTTTTGTTTGTTTGTTTATTTAGTTATTGTGTATGTGCCTGCACACATGTATGCTTACTATTTAGCTTGTGTGTGCATGATTGAGCATTGGGGTCAGAGGATGAACCTTCTATCATGTGGGTTCCAGGCCATCAGGCTTGGTGACAAGTACCTTTACTCACTGGACCATCTTGCCAGCCCTGGTTGTGTGTGTGTATGTGTGTGTGTCTGTGTGTGTGTCTGTGTACAGGTGCACGCATATGACTGTGCACATGTATGTAGAGGCTAGATGTTGATATTGGGTATCTTTCTCTATCACTACCTTCTTTTCTGAGACAGTTTCTTTTTAAATCTGGAGGTTACTGATTTAGCAGGAATAGCTGACCAGCAGACCCCATGGGTCACTTTTCACTTCTTCCCCGTGTTAGGATTACAGGTGCACCCTACAGTACCCAGCTTTTCACACTGGTACTGAGACTCTCAACTGGGGTGCTCATGCTTTGTATGGCAAGCACTTGACCAAATGAGTCATCTCCCCAGCCCTCGCTTTTCTGATTTGAGGCAGGATCTGTCTTAGTTGGGGTTTTCTATCACTGTGAAAAAACACCAGGGCCAAAAGCAACTTGAGGAAGAAAACGTTTATTTCAGATTATACTTGCACATCAAAGTCCATCATCAAAGAAGGTTAAGGCAAAACCTGGCAGCAGGAACTGAAGTAGAAGCCATGAAGGAGTGCTGCTTACTGGCTTGTTTCTCATGGCTAGCTCAGCCTGCTTTCTTGTATAACTTGGACCACCTGCTCAGTGGTGGCACCATAGCGGAATGGGCCACTAATTAAGGAAATGCCCCATCAGCTTGCCTACAGGCCAGTTTTATGATACTAGCTTGTGTCAAGTAGACAAAAATACCAACCAGGACAGAGTCTCATGTAGCTCAAGCTGGCCTCACACTTACTATATAGCTAAGATGAGCCGGCTTGAGTTCTCAGTCCTTCTCCCTCCATTTCTCGAGGGATGGGGCTACAAACATGCCACCACACTTGGCAATGTTGATGCCCCCTCTTTCTTTTTAAAAAACGAGATCATAGAGTTGTTTCTGAAGTACACTTCATAGAATTAGAAGCCAAGACAAAAGCATAGGTCACAAGGGCCAAAAGATTCTCTACTAAACTAAGTCACAAAGGCTAAGACATGTTTTTGTTTGTTTGTTTGGTTGGTTTTACCTAAAACTCACTATGTAGACCAGACTGGACTCAAACTCAGAGATCTGCTTGACTCTGCCTCCCAAGTTCTGGAATTAAAGGCCTGTGCCTCCATGCCCAACTCAGACGTGTGTTTTGAATGTAATCTTGTTTGTGAGCTCCTCAGAAATAATACCGAATTTACAGCTTGGAAACGTTGCGTACTGGGGCCTTAAGCACAGTTCATTGCTATTTTAACATTCTTATATAAAATATCTCTGTATTTAAAAGTTGTGTAAGCAATCAATTTTGTTATTTTAAAACATTTCTTTTTGAGCTGTGTCTCTTTTATAACCTTGTTTCCCCTCCTTGCTGTGTAGCCCAGGCTGGTCTCCCACTCAAAACAATCCTCCTGCCTCTGCCTCCCGAATGCCGAGATTCCAGACAAGAGTCACCATGTCAGGCAATCTCAACTGCAACTTGTGCATGCTGCACCAGCAGGAGACTTCAACAAGACTCTAGGATGAGGGCTCCTTTCCCTTCCCACATCTCCTTAATTTTCTGTGTCACAAGACAAAAGAGTGAAATACTGGGCCAGGCAGCACCGGGCAGGCGGGAATGCCTGGTGATAGATCCGTGGCAGAGCCAGATGGCCTAGGGTAAAAAGGTACACAGTGGCCTTTTCCACCACCCAGGCCTCTGTTGCTCCTGGGAAGAAGGCAGGCTCTCAGGCCCTGGTTTGCTCAAGGGGGCCAAATTCCTGACCCCAGTTTGCCTTTCAATAAATGTCCCCCGACCCCTTTTCTTGGGAGTAGGAGTAGGTTCTGACCTGCATTGCTTCCTAAGCCGAACACACCTTTGAAATTAGAGGCAGTAAGGGCCAGGCAACACTGTTCCCCAATCTCTAATGCACAGTCCCCTGAAAGAGGTGAGTCGGGGAGTTCAGGTGACCAAACACACCTGCTTAGGGTAAGAGCTTGGCTTTCTGCTGGTGAACCCTCTTCCCTTCAAAGCAAGCCCTCGGGCGGGCTGCTGTTCACCCTAACCTGGTAGGTCACACTTAAGGATGACTGAGTTTGTGTTGCAATGCCATCTGGAAGGATCTGCCGGGTGCAGGCACCCCTCCCGAGCCCCGCCCCTCCTTCCTTCCTGGTCCCCCTTCTTCATCCTCTCTCGCCTCCACCTCCTTCTCCTAGTAGGAGCCTCTCACCAGTTCTCTGGCTCTCCCTCCCTCCTCTTCCCCAGCCCCGCTCCTCCTTCCTCCTGCGACCCCGCCCCCTCCCCCCTCTGCCGGGCTCCTTCGCCGGGCGGCGGGGCGGCGGTGCGCAGGCGCGGAACCGAGTCCCGCTGGGCCGCAGCCGGTGGCCGGCTCGCAGTGGGCCTGTACCCGGCCCTTCACGCTCCGTTCCCCCTCGCTCTGTGGAGACTGGAGGACGTACCAGATCCCACGGAACTGTGGCGGCAGGATGGCGCAGACCGCCATGTCCGAGACTTACGGTAAATCCCGCGGGTTCGCGCTTATGTGTGTAGGGGGGGGGGGGCAGGCCTTGGGGTCCCGAAATGTGTGTGGCTGGGGTCAGGGTCTCCAGAGCCGGTGTTTAGAATATCGAGATGTTGGGGCTGGGCTGGGATCCTGAGAACCTCGTGGTGTCAGAGGCCAGGTGGAGATACTGAGAATCTTGGGGTGTTTAGGGCTGGGCTGGGATCCTAGTAATCGTGGAGTGCCAGTAGCTGGGATTCTGAGAATCTAGGTTTCAGGGCTAGGTGGAGATACTGAAAATCCCGGGGTGTCAACTGCTGGCATCCTGAGATTCTTGGGGTGTCAAGGTCGGGCTAGAACTTGAGAGCGCCTGGATGTTTAAGGCTGGGCTGGAATCTTAAGGATCTAGGGGTATCAGGAGCTGGGTTGGACTCTCTGGCCAGCAGGTGCCCCCAGCTGTGCAGAGCATTGTGATCCTCTCCTCCAAGTTCCCTCCTGCCTTGACCCTGGTTTCACCCTACATTCCCCTCCTTGGATTATTTAAATAGCTCAAGGTTGGGGGAATCAGTTTATCATTGATTCTCCCCCCTCCCCGCTGCAGCACGGAGCGCAGGGATGGGGGCTCAGGGCCACGCCTGCGTTCAGTGTCTTTGGGGGCATGGCTGTGGGCCTCTCAAGGCTTGGAATTCCTTTCTTTGCATTGAGATTATAATGAGTTTTAAATGGATGACTGCATCTCTTTTCTGGAGACCCCTGGCCTTCCGTATCTTTCCCTCCCTCCCTCCACCCTGTTATAGGTCGCCTTATAGCTCTTTATAAACACATATCCTCTTTATGACCATAAGCCTTGGAGATGGAGCTGTATCTTCTTCATCTTTGTCCCAGTTTCCAATGCATGTGCTGGGTGCTCCCCCTCCCCAATCGAGGTAAGAATAAACTGGTACTATGCATGGTTACCAGTCCCTACTTGAGGCTTGAGACTTTGATTTGGTATGTGCTGGTTCCAGGGAGGGACTCCCATGGAAAAGCATGGTGATCAGTCCGGGTTATCCCAATGTGCCCCCTGATTCCTTCCTGCCACAGGGTGGGGCCAGAGGCCAGCCAGGAAGGTTCTAATCATTGTAAAAAAGTGCCGTGGAAACTTCCCCAAGAGTTTACAGTCCAGTGAGGAACAGATGGTTAATTCGGTTGTGACCTTAATGGATAAACAGTTAAAATCCAGGCAGCAGTTCTGAGGAGTATGGTCTGGCCAACTGTGTGAGAAAGAGCTGACACAGATAGGTCAGAGAGGGGCAAGTGGACAGGCAGAGTTCAGGTCTGGAGCATGGTGTGGGCCCCTTAACTTGAGGAGAGCGAGGAGGCAGTTGAAGAACCTTAAGGTTTGGACTTTGAGAGGGCGGGACCCTGGGAAGGGTAATATGAGGCACACAGCCGCCTGGTTCACTGTCTCCTGGCACCAGCACTCCTGGGGCACTGAGGCATAATGTCTGACCCTATAAACTTCAGGCACTATCCATGGGTGACTGGCTTTGTCCGGGCCACAGGTGTGTTTGTCTTTCCCTTCATTTCAAGGTATTTTCCAAATATGCCTTTATTTTTTAATTTTGGTTTTTGTTTTGGTTTTTGTTTGTTTTGACACAGTTTCTCTCTCTCTAGTTCTGGATGACTTAAAAATCAGTGTAGCCCAGGCTGGCCTCACACTTGTGGCAATATTCCTGCCTCTGCCTCCTGAGTGCTAGGATTATAGACATGTGTCCCCGTGTCCAGGTTTCTACTTTTTAACTAAGTCTGAATGTAATCTTTCCTTTCAAGGGAGAAAACAAACAAACAATGAATAGAAACTAAAAAGTAGAAGTCTAGCTTTAGAAAGAGGCAAGAGGGGTCTCTAGAGCTGCTGGCGTAGAAGAATAGTCACCCAAAACCAAGGCAGAGGCTGTCACCTTCACTCATCCTTGACTGTGTTTATACAGTTTTGTTCCCCAAATTAAAACAACCAAGACCTCTCCTTCTGGACGTTTGCCTGTTGGCTGGCATAGGAATGTTTGCCTAACCTTTAAGTTCCATGTGTTCGGGGCTGGTTTTCTCTCTTCTGTGAAAGGAGGTTCTGTGCAGCTTGGTGGAAATTCGATGAGACATAGGAGCCCGTGTTTTACGGCTACTAATGAGCTGGCTGCTAACGGCCTGTAGAACAGTCCCTGCACCTTGCACTGACTGAGTGGTGTCCAGCATTTTCTTGATCTGAAGTCCCTAACTCTGTGAACCTGTGCTTTAGATCACATAATATCATAATATAAATTGGAATGTTAAATAGGTAGGCTTCTCATTGAAATGTGGTTGACCTAGTCCACTTGATTAAACTGAGACACTAGGATATTAGTAAAGTGTACCTGTGGGTGAGTCTGTGGTGGCTTTCTAGGCATGATTAGATCCCGAGGGCTCCAAACTAATCAATGAATTAATCCCTTGATATATTCCTGATCTGATGTTATTATGGCCCGTGATCCAAGGTTGGAGGTAGGACATGACTGGAGGAAACTGGGGGGATGTCCTTGGAACTCCATCTTCCCCCTGCCTCTTCTTGTAGTCCCACTCTCTGCTTCCTGGCCTCTGCTTCCTGGCCTCTCACATCAGTGAACTGTCCCATCACATATTCCCAGCTCCGAGGGGCTGACTCCTGGGAAACTGAGCCAAACAAATCCTTCCTCCCTTCCCTTCTCTCAGGCATTTTGGTCCCAGCTAACAAAAGTAACACTGACCCTCAACCTGAGTGTCCCTAACCTGAAGGGAGCTTGTCCTAGTGATTGTTAGAGACACAGCATCATCCTATGACTGTGTTCAGTGAGCGCTAGCTGGGCCAAGGACTCATGTCAGCAGCCTGAGACCCGAGAGTTTGAAAACTCTCCTTAATTCCTGACACCAAATGGTCAGTCGCAGAAATTGCTAAGCAGTGTATATGGTGGGAGAATGCCAGGGAGCGTTTAAAACTTCAGTTGCTAGAGAAGAATGGCACGGAGGAAGAATTGATGCCATGTACTATTTGAAAATCTCCCGAGACAGAAGAATTCTGCTCCTGTTGCTGGCCTCGTGGTTGTTTCTACCATAGTATATTCAGTATAGTATATTCCACTTAGAAAATAACGCACAGCATTCTAGTGTCTAAAAGATAAGGTTGAGATCATCAGAGTATTTTCTGCTAACTACACAACCTCATTTGTGTATGTGAGGTTTGAATTGTGTCCTCAAAGTCACACTTAAGTCCCAGTTCTGGACCTGTGCATGTGACCTTATTTGGAATAGGATCTTTGCCAGTGATTATTGAAGGTGGAGTCATGCTGGAGTCGTATGCCCCAAACTCAGTGACTGTGTCCTAATGAGACCAGGGAAACATGGACACAGACATACACAAGGAGAGTGGGCTGTGGCAGTGAGCCTCAGGTTAGAGAGGTCCAGTACCCAGCCAATGTACCCCCCAGCGTAGCTGGCAACCACCAGAAACTAGGAAGAGGCAGGAAGCACCCGTTCCTGAGCCTGCAGGAGCTCAACACTGCCACACCTCACTGCAGCCTCTGGCTCTGACAGCAGATACCTGTCACGTTAAGCCATTGGACTTGAGGAACTTCGAGGTGCAAAGCCTCCGAAGCTATCTCACAGGTCTTAGTTGTTATGCAATGAGTCTTGAAGAAATGTAGGCTTGATAAGGCAATTAGGATTGACAAGGATATCTCAAATAAAAAAGCAACATTTTTAAAGCCCTTTCATTCATAAAGTAAAATTAATTTCCTGTTAGGAGAATCCCCTGAATCCCCGTCGCCTTAACTCACAACTGACAAAAAATTTAAACAGTTCGAGCAGACATCAGAAAAAGAACATTTGTTTGATTCAGTACATTTTTGATTGCCAAAGTCGTAGTTTTCTTTTTCTTATTCACTGAAAACTTACTGGTGAGCATTTCAAGAAGCAGGGTCTGGGCCTGGGGTGGGAGGCATGTCCATGATCCCGGCACTTAGGATGTGGAGGCAGGAGGATCAGAAGTTGCAAATTATACATACTCACAGTAATAATAATAATTTATGTGGTTTCACCTGTAAAAGGGTCAGTTCCAGGGGAGAGGCTCCCCTAAAGCTCCAGATGTAGAGGTGCTGTTGGCTCAGGAACTGTGTTTGAAATCTTTATTAGGCGTGTCCAACCTTTTGCTATTACATGATTTTGTAGTCTACAAATGTGTTGAGCAGCATTCTTAGCTATCCTGGGATGCTTGTGACCATGGGTAGAGGTCAGACATACATTAATGTAGTTGATATGACTGTATTGTATCACAGCTTATCCAAGAACATTGGAAACATGATTCTTTGGCAGAACAAGATCAGTATTCCTCTCATGGTCATCTGGGTGCTAAAGCCTGTGACTTTACTTCTGATTCTGGGATGCCTCCGATTATATAGTACCAGTTCACCATTAGTTCCTAAGGATCTTATTTCTCCATCCCCTCCCTAACTATTCCACCTGGGTGCCCCCAGAGAATCAGAATACAGTGTGTCCCGTGCCCAGTCACATAACCCTCTGCCTACCCGGGCTGCTGCTCTCTGAGTCCCCACCTGCCTTGGAGAAAGCACCATTTAGACTGTTCCCCACCCTCAGCTCCTGAGTCCAGCTCTCTGCTAAGTCTCCAAGACGCCTTTCCACAGAGTTCATGTTACTGTTCTCCCTGGAAGGGGCAAAAGGTAGTTGAGTCAGGGCTGCTCGGCCAGATCCTGAATAAAGGGAGGTTCTCTTGGTTCCCATCTCAGTGACTTGGCAGGTATGGAACATCCTGAGGCTTGCTGCTAGCACATCTACCCCTGGATCTGCAGCTTCTGCAGGCTTCTCATGGGACCTACAGCTCCCTGGATGTGCATGAGAGAAGGGGCCTTGAGAAAATTATGTTGGAATTCAGTATCATTGGAAAACCATGATGATTGAGTAAATTAAATTCCCCAAACTTTCCAAATTCTCCAAAAAGCAATTTCGTGTAAACATA